GAAAGTTATGTTCTTAAGGAGGACGAATTTGGAAATGCATAACAAAAAACAAAAATATTTTGACATATAATTTAATTTATTTTCTAGGCTGAAAATTTCGAATACTTGTAAGTGACATCACAATGAATTATTTATTAAAAAATGTTGATATCTTGCAATACAATCTTCCAACATCATCAAGCCATGCCTATTGGTGCTACATCCAATGTCTCCTCCACTACTACAACTCATACTATCTAACCTAAACAAAATCCAATCTACTACCACCCAAACTTTGCATATTTCCTATTATGTTATTCATATTTTAACTTTTCACCACCATCAACCTAGTTTGACCTATCTACTTAATTTAATCCTGTCATATGCAAAACTTTGTATTACACTCATGACCACCTCCACTACTTCGTTAGGATAGTCCATCTGCCAACATTGGACTCATCCAGTCATCCTAAAACTCTTAAAAGTATTAACATATACAAGATGCATAAGGCAGTGGATCTGTTACACACGAGCATCAAATATATCTCAAGCAAAAAAGTGAAATATGTCTATTTATTGTTTTTTTACCTTAAAATTTTTTAATGCATAACTTATTTTAATACATTACTTTTTACATGTTTAATTCCCATAAATATGCCAAGATAATTGATACTTTAAGCAAAAAAAAATTATGCTTCTTTTGTGTTATGGATTATTTCCTTGAAAGTTTTTAATATAAGATTCAAGAATTTGAGATATTTAATTTTTAATATTTATAATTTAAAATCAACATCAATTCAAAATATTAATAAATATTATTTATTTTTAGAGAGAATTTTGTTAGCTATTAAAACACTGTAGGTGGATAAGAAGAAATTTTTAGCATTGAGGTTTAATTTGCACGTATGATTTATCGATATCACTAACTGAGGGAAGAGATCATTATGCACTGAAAGAAAGAATATGAGTAAATATATATAAAATTTGTTGAAGCTTAAATTATGCCATAAGAGATATTGAAATAAATAAATTTGTACTTCTAATTGTAGGGGCATGGGCAAGACACACCCCTTGATGAACTCTTCCAAGGTGACAAAATGAGTAATAAAAATAGGTACAACCTAATAGGCTAAATTTATCAACAATATTAATTCTCTAATACTAAATATCATAATAGAGTGAGTGATAAAGTTAATTATCTAAGCGATCAAATAGATCATATAACTCTATGTTTGAATAATTAAATAAGTAAATTGTGTTGAAGCATTTAAAAATATTTCATTCATTTGATTACATGGCTTCTAATGAACATCATAATCTATTTGCATAACATCAAAAGCTTTTAGTAAATATGCTCCTAATTATGTTTTAACCTATTGCATACATATTGGAGAGCATTTTTCCATCAATATGGGCTCATTCTTATTAGTATACCTAAACATGTTAACATAATATATCATTCCTTGTCTAAGCTACATAATATAATATTTTTTTATGTTCTTTATTTCAGATTACTAAGCATATGGTGATAAATATCATTCATCTTTAACATGCAATCTAATCATATACATCAATTTGAGATTTGTAAGTGTACATCCTAATTTAAAATTTGTATTTCTTAACATACTTCTAATATGTTACATTATGCTTTATATAGTTTAATTCAATGCCTAATCATTAAATTAATAAAAACAAGTTGAAGGACTTTCTAAATGTTGTGAGATATGTACTTCCTGACATAGAAATGAGACTAAAAAGATCACAAGCAAACACAGATCGTTTATGTGGTTTGATCCAACTGGATCTACTTCCACGGAAGGGAATCAATCAATTAGTTCACTAAGGCAAAAGAAATGGAGAGTACACAACTTATACATAGAGATGAGCCTTCATCTTCCTTCTATGACCTCCCTCTCAAGCGACACCTTGATACAAGGCTTCAAGATGGTCTCATCCTCTCTAGCTATCTAGCTATTCTCTCCTCCTTCGTGGTAGCTTAAGATCTCTTCCCTTGCTCTCCTAAGCCTCACACCCTCTCTATTTATAAAAACAAGAGAGTGGTAGGTGGGAGGTAGGTGAGCGGTAGGTGAGCGGTAGGTGAACGATAGGTAAGATGTGGCAGGTGAGCGGTACCACATTACAAAAATGATATTTTAACTTATTTCAATAATTGGGGGTCATCTCCACCTTGACCCTTAATTGAGAAGCTTCAAAAGTAAAGATTCCCTCCAATGGCCCCTGAGGAGCTCTCAGCCATTGCTTGAGTTTGTTAAGTCCAAACAGTACATGGACTTAGCAATCAAGGTTCTTCCGACAAGAGAGTACAACCCCTTTTTTCTGACTCCTTGTATGACGACACAAGGGCCTTTGGTTACTCTCATGCAGCAATTCTCTGCCTTGAACGAGCATCCGCTTGACTCCAGCGTACCTAAAGAAATCAAATTTCTTTTGAGCTATGGTACGTACCTGACATTTTCCAGTACTCGTTCAACTCCATCAAACATCCTTATCCTGATTGATCCACTTCCAACAACCCTGTGAGCTTTATTGTCTCCCAGTAGAACATACCCATCATTTTCCTGTTGCAGTGTCTCGAACCAGTCTTTGTGAGGACACATGTG